AGTTCTTGGTACTCCAATTAGAAGTGGAAGTTGAAGTTCTTTCAACTTTAGTCTGAACTATATACTAAGATTGTTCTGCAATGGCTTCTGCAGCACTTAGAAATATTTTTTAAAGTGATACACAGTAAACTGATGTGAAAGAACATTCTGGGTAACAACTCTCACGATGGATTGAACAGGGTAGTTTAATCCTTAAACAGAAATTTAACAGTTATGAATGGCAAAGCTACATATACTGACAGTGGTTTAGAAAAACTGGTGGAGGCTCGGCGCCTGTGGCTCAAGCGGCTAAGGCACCAGCCACATACACCTAAGGTGGCGGGTTCGAATCCCCAGCCCGGGCCCCCCAGACAACAATGATGGCTGCAACCAAAAAAAAAAAAAAAAAAAGAAAAAAGAAAAACTGGTGGAAACAACTCACTTTCCCAGGCTTCATCCATTCAAAGCCAACTTGACTAACTTCCCAAACACCAAGCCTCATCTGTAATATTTATACTCCTCTGATTTTAATCCATTTAAGCCAGGGGTCCTCTAACTTTTTAAACAGAGGGGGCTAGTTCACTGTCCCTCAGACCATTGGAGGGCTGACTGCGGGCTCCGGGATGAGTCGGCGGCTAAGCAGGACAGGCAGCGGTGGCAAAAACACCCGGCGGGCTGGATAAATGTCCTCGGCCAGCCGCATGTGGCCTGTGGGCAGTAGTTTGAGGATGCTTGAAAGCCCTTTTAACCCTGAGAACATTCGTATTCCTCCAGGTCAGGATATGCAACAGTCACTAGAAGACCTAAAGACTTGGCAATTTTGTTTTTTTTTTTAGACAATCTCACTCTGTTGCTTTGGGTAAAGTGCCGTGGCATAATTATCAGTCACAGCAACCTTAAACTCCTGGGTTCAAGTGATCCTTCCGCCTCAGCCTAATTTAGAGTAGCTGGGACTACAGGCACCTATCACCATGACTGGTACTGGTAGTTTTTTCTATTTTTCATAGAGATGGATTCTCGCTGTGGCTCAGGTTGGTCCCAAACTCCTGCACTCAAGCAATCCACCTGCCTCATCCTTCCAGAGTGCTAGAATTATAGGTGTGAGCCACCATGCCCAGCCTTAAAGACTAAGCGAAGGAAGAAGTCTCTAGGATATTTCTTTCTCTTTTGTGTGTGTGTGAATTTGTTTTTATTGAAATCTCTAGGCTATTTCAAACATTTCTCCAATAATAACTGTAATGATATTAATCTCTCTTCAGGGTGAAGGGGAAGATGGGACACCCACCAGGACACTAGCACAAGAGGTTCTTGACCTGAAGCCATAAATTAATTTTCTTACTCATAACTCCCCTGGTTCCCAAAATTCTACACAAAATGTCTGTAGATATTCATTTTTATGTGAAATCACAGCTTTTATCAACCACTCAAGACTTCAGTGATTCAAAAAGGGTTAAGAACCACTGAGCTAGAGAGGCTGGTGCCAAGCACCGAAGCCATGAACAGTAGTTCATAAATCGAAGCTCCACCATCGCTGTTCACCCTTACCCAACTGCCCTGACCCAGACCCAGATGAAACAGATCCCAATACCAACCCTCAGGTCACTTCCTGAATAACCAATGGCTTGAAAAAAAAAATCTTTAATGGAATCTGTGCTCGAATAGTATGTTACAACAAAAATATACAGAAATGTACACAATACAAAAATATTTAGAAACAAACACTGCAGTTTGTGTTTTGTTCTGTTTTTTCCACTTGCTCAAGTCCTCGGAGGAGCAGTTCACTTTTGGGCACTGTTTTTAAGGCAGAGGAGAACTGATGCTTTCCAGCCAGCCCTGGGAGCAACGTGAATGATGCCAGGAATCTGCTTCGACTCCACCCAGGAATCTGCATTATGCAAATTAAATTGGAAGCCAGAGGATGATCCTGGCTTGGTGAGCAATGGCTCCCCTAATCCTCAGGGATAAGAATGGTTCTCATGGAAATTGAGAGTTCTATTAGCAGGCAAAAGAGACTCATTAGGGAGCTTTTCCTAATTAAAAAACGAATGATGAATGGCATCATTAAAGGGAAATTTCTCCTTTGAAGGTTTGTTTTCCCTTCCCCCATTTCTGCGATGATTTCTCTCTCCCATCCACAGCAAGTGAGTTTGGGGATTCCCCAGCTCTCATTTTCCAGATCCTGTTGTGGATGAGAGGCCGACCTACTCCCCCCGCAGTGGCCTGAAGATTTACAACCAGTGTCCTTAATGGCAGCTGCCCCAGGAGGAAGAAAGAGGAAAGGAGGGCACAGCCAACTTCAGGGACGGTGGGACCTGCTTAAGATCAAGCCAGATGCCACCAAGGAAAACCTTCTGACCAGATGCCAGCCTCTTGGCCATAGGTAGAGCCTAGGTCATGTGACATTGACACGTTTGTCTCCACTCTGTGGCTCTGCTGGGAGGTGATGGTTGAGAGAGGGTGGTGTAGGTGGGGGTACAGCTGGGGCTAGTGGCCTGAGGTACCGCTGAAGCTCCCTTTTCTACTCTCAGATCTGGGAGGGCAGACTTAACTAGCTGGGGCAGGCCATTCTGCCTCAGGCCACTTTTCTCATGAATAACCTTCCATCACAAGCCCTGAGGGAAGTGGGTCTTTCTCCCAGGGCTTTCTGGAACTTTCTAGTTCATTGCCTTCTCACCCCTGAGAGAGGAAAACCCCTCTCTAGGCCACACCAGACAAAGACAGGGGTGGCACTCTGCTCACTTCATCCACCTTCCAGAAACCCTGGTGCCAGGACAGGAATCTGGAGGGAATTCTCTGCCCCTCTGGGAAGGGCTAGCTCTGCTCAGACTTATCCCAGGCAACAGCCCATGGCAGAGGAAGCAAAGTCCTGGCCTGTTTTCCATCCTTACCCAAGTCTTCTCAACCCCTTGCTCAGTGGTTCTCAACCTTCCTAATGCTGTGGCCCTTTAATACAGTTCCTGTGGGTCATAGGTTGAGAACCCCTGCCCTAGCTCCATTGCGTTGGAGTATACTTTTTTTCTCATTAGGCTGAGAATGGCAAAAAGGGCAGACGAGATGTCCCAGGCTGATGCAATCCTGATCTAGATCTGAGACTAGAGAAGGGAGCTTCAGCTCTACCTCGGGGCCCCGCCAAACATGTGGACCCATGCTGCCTCAGGTCGACAGTCCTCGTAGCTTTGGCACAAAGGTAGCATGGCCTTAGGAATGGCACCAGGACAGTCTATTCAGCACTGGGCAAAGATAGTTATGAACTTGGCACAACCTGCATATGGGCGGGTATGTCCCTGGGTGGGAAGACCCTGCCCATTTATCTGTAATCACTAGGACAGGAAGCCACCATGGCCCAAGACCCCCAAATGCCTGGCCCGGCTGACTTTGGACTTTGGTATACTCAGGAGCCTGGAAGGACTTAAGCGTGGTGAATAGTTCCCACACTCCTGTCATTGTTCCTGCATAGACCCAGCCTCTCCACCTCCCAGGCCTGGGGTCTTTGTCCTTCTGGACCACCAGCAGCAGGGTATTCTAAGAGCAGTGTAAAGCCATGACATATTTTGTCCAAGGTCATCCTCCTCACACCCTCCACTCAAAGCCTGCACTGCCCCCTGCTAGGAGGTCATTCTTGAGACCTCATTTTCCCAACAGTGAGATTGGTGGGGGTGGACTTGATGATCTCTAGGTTCTCTCTCACATCTACTGGCATCTTTTACCTCTGACAATCCTCCAGGCACCCAGTCATTTTTCTTCAGAAGCAAAGTTTCCTACCTAATTCCTCGTACTGCAGCCTCTTGTCCCCCCCCACCCCCAACTCAATTGGACATACGGACTCAATATTCCTGCCTGGGCATCCCTTGCCTTCCCCAAGCTCCTATCTCCTTAGGGAGACAGAACAGAACCTGTTCAGATAAGGCGGCCATCCCAGAGGGAAACAAGAGCAGAACCTGGCAAAGGTGAGGGAAACTTCAGCATCCCAAGGGTCCCTAGAAGGGTTCGAGATGTCCCTCCAGCATGACAATTCTCCTGCTAATCAGTGATGCGCAGGGAGGGGCCTGGAGAGGACAGGAGATAGGAAAGAAGGGGGCAAGCTTTGTACAAAGCAAGGACATTCACCACTCACAGCACACTCCATGTTCTGCCGCGTCTCAGCGCCTTTTCTCCTCTCAGAGACACCTCCCCATCTGGGCCCCCTCTGCAGGTTCCAATTGGCCTCACGTTGTCCCTCCCATCACACACACATGTACGTGTGCACACGTGCATGATCAAAACACGTCTCCAAGGGAGAGGCACAAAGTAGGGCCAGGGCAGTGGAAGGAAAGAAAGACCCTAAAAGCAAAGCAGGGCACACAGGCCGGGCGCTGGTATGAGACGTCAACATCCTGGAAGAAAGGGAGGGAGGAGTCTAAGATCGGTCCTGCGTCTTCCTCAGGTTTGGACTTGGGGTGGTTTGTTCCTCACTGTTGGGTCCCTTTCACAGGGTACCCCCAGGGCAGGAGTGGGGCACTGCCTACAGCATCTTCCTCCTCCACCCCAGTGATCAGCGACAGGCCCCAGGGGAGGGCACTCAGGTCTAAGCCAGGTCAAAGCCAGCAGGCCCACCACAGGCCCTCTTCTCACCCACGTTCCAGGCCAGCAGCTATAGAGGGGACACTGCCTGGCCTGCAGTTATCTCTGCCTGCCTGTGATAACCCTCTAGCCTTCCTCCATTGCATAGGGTCTCTCAGGGTCAAGGGTGAGGCGGGAGAAGGCTGCTGCCCAATCTCTGTCTGCAAGAGAGGTTGAGCCCAGCCCAGGAGGGGAGCCACTCTCACCCCACCCTAGGCCTTCACCCTGGCCCAGTGTCATCAAAGCAGCCTAGAAAAGTGATGGCAGAGACATCCAACTCCTCCACCAGATGCCTTTCAGGAAAGAGTTCACTGTCCCAAAGCACGAATATTACAGCAGCCCAGAGGGTTCCACCCTCACCTGCCTGTCCTCACTGAGCTGGTGATGAGTAAAAGCACACAGGTACTCCCTGTAGAAGCTGCTCCCTCCCCTCCCCCACCTTGGGCCGCCAGCCCTCAAGGGGGTGGTGGAAGCTTCAAGTCCAGCAGGGTGTAGGCAAAAATGTTCCAGAAGATGGCAAACAGCACGAAGACGGTGTACATGGCCACAAAAATCCACCACAGCGACTGGTCCTGCAGCCTCTGCTCGTAGTTCCTCAGGACCACCACGCCCAGGGTGATGCCCACTGCCACACCACCCAGATGCGCCACGAAGCTTGGGTGAGGGCACGGGGGATACGCCGATGGGTGGAAGCGGAGCCACACGGCCCGCCCGAACTCCATGCTCACTGCAAGGGGAGGAAGCAGACATTAGTCACAAGAGGGTCCTGAGAGGAGCTGAGGGGGAGGCTGGCACACCACCGGCCCCACCCCCAGCTGCCCTTCTCTGCAGGGGGGACACAGCAGTGAAGGAAACAAACAAGCCTCTTCTCTCCCAGAGCTCATAGCATCTGGCGATACATCAGTGATCAAGTACATACATGAGATAATTTCAGGAGATACATCTGCGGGAGAGAAATAGGTGTTGTAGAATCATTGCCAGCACAAGGAGGGAGATTCTTTAGTTCGGGAAGTCAGGCAAGACCTTGAACAGGTGACATCTGAGCTGAGGTCTGAATATTGAACAGGACCTCGCTGGAAGGACCCTAAGAAGGACGTTTCAGGCAGAGGGAGAGCTTGTGCAGAAGCTCAGAGACCCTCACACCCATGTCTGTGGTCATGCTGTGAGGTCTGGAGGCTCGGTTTCCCCATCTGTCTATGCACAGAAAACCTCGGCCTCTATGTACCAGGCTGTGCTGGTAAAACATTAATGGCAACTTATCCCCCCCAAGGAAATTTTGACAAACTGAAGGAAAGCCCACGGAGAGGAATTTTGTTCAGCTACCACTGAATTAGCCAGAGCACCCCTCACCACCCTGCAGCAGTGCAGGAGCCTCCAGGGACCTTCCTTTTTCCCCTAGGGATTGCCCAGCCTACTGGACCGGACCCTGCAACTCCAAGGATGGCCAATAGATGGCAGAAAAGGAGCAGCCAGGGACCAACACATCCCTCCCATTTCTTCACTAAGTCCTGGGTTTGATAAACATTTAGGATGTTTAGAGTTGGATTTTTTAATTTTTATTTATTTTTATTACAAAAATTTTTTTTGAGACAGAGTTTTACTTTGTCACCTTCGGTAGAGTGCCATGGCATCACAGCTCACAGCAACGTCAAACTGTTGGGCTCAAGTGATTCTCTTGCCTCAGCCTCCTGAGTAGCTGGGAGTACAGGCTCCCGCCTCAACACCTGGTCATTTTTAGAGACGGGATCTTGCTCTTGCTCAGGCTGGTCTCAAACTTGTGAGCGCAGGCCATCCACCTACCTCAGCCTCCCAAGTGCTAGGATTATAGGTGTGAGCCACCATGCCCAGTGGATTTTTTTTTAAATCCACGCCTATAACTTAGCACTCTGGGAGGCCGAGGCAGGAGGATCCCTTGAACTCAGGAGTTAGAGACCAGCTTGAGCAAGAGCAAGACCCCCATCTCTACTAAAAACAGAAAAATTAGTTGGTCGTTATGGCAGGTGCCTGTAGCCCCAGCTAATAGGGAGGCTGAGGCAGGAGGATCATGTGAACTCAGGAACCTGAGGTTGCTGTGAGCTAGGCTGATGCCAGGGTACTCTAGCCTGGGCAACAGAGTGAGATTCTGTCTCAAAAAACAAACAAACAAACAACAACAACAACAACAACAACAAAAAACCCCAGTAAGACTCATTCCTCTGTTTCCTTCAAGAACAGACACGGAAGCTATATTCATCCCCACCCCCACCTCACTGTGCTCTACTGCCTTGACTCAAGGAGTCCTTAGGTTTTTTTTTTTTTTTTTTTTTTTTTTTTTTTGAGACAGCGCCTCAAGCTGTCCCCCTGGGTAGAGTGCCGTGGCATTACAGCTCACAGCAACCTCCAACTCCTGGGCTCAAGCGAGTCTCCTGCCTCCGCCTCCCAAGTAGCTGGGACCACAGGCGCCCGCCACAACGCCTGGCTATTTTTTGGTTGCAGCCGTCATTGTTGTTTGGTGGGTCCGGGCCGGGGATTCGAACCCGCCACCTTAGGTGTACGTGGCTGGCGCCTTAGCCGGTTGAGCTATAGGCGCCGAGCCGAGTCCTTAGGTTTTAAGGCCAGAAGATCCTTTCTGGGATTAGAAAGCCTCTATCCCCATTCAGGAAACTGAGATCTGGAGAGCCCCACAGCGGGCCATGGGCACATGATTTCCTGAGAACCATACAACAGGGAAGTGAATGAAAGCAGGCCTGCCCCTCCACCCCAGGTGTGCTGCTCGGTCTTCCTCTTATTCACACAGTAGGTGCCTGGCCCGGCACAGAAGGTCAAGGTGTTCACGGCCAGCTGGCTAAAGTGTGGGGCATAGAAACGGCACAGGGTGGCTGAGTCTCACCTCTTAGCTGGGTGACCTTGGGCACAAGAACTTAACTCTCTGTGCTTTGAGTTTCTGCCTGTAAATTAAGCCTGATCCTACCTCTTGTAAATGTGTTTGGAGGACTGATGAGAAATGTGAGTCCCCCTTCTCTTCCTACCTTCATTGCTTCTGTTCAGACTCATCTCCTTCCATCTTAGAACCAGCCCTTTGGCCTCTGGTCCCCTCCTACCCCTCACCATTCTCCACACTGTAGCCTGGTTTTCTGAAACTCTGGTTATCTGTCAGTAACTTTCTTGCTAAAAGCCCTCCGGTGACCTCTCAGGGCATTCAGGGTGAAGTATATATTTTTTCTTAGCATTGAAAGCTCTTAATGATCTGACCGCTCCTGTTATCTCACTAGCTTTACTTCTGATCACAAATCACAATCACACAGAGTCCCAAACCTCATTCCTCAGGTTTGTGAACCAACGTGCTGGCCAAGACCCTCACTCCTCTGTGTCTTTGTTCACGTAGCCCAAAATGCCCTCGTCTACCTGGAGAACCTCTGCTTGTCTCCAACACTCGACATGACCTCTGCAGGTAAAACTGACCTCTCACAACTAGGGCTCTGACCACATCCTTTTCTTGGCTCCCTGAACCGATAAAACTGCTACTTTTTTTTTTTTAATTAAATGATAGCTGTGTACATTAATGTAATCATGGGGTACAGTGTGGTGTTTTCATATACAATTTGAAATATTTTTATCAAACTGGTTAACATAGCCTTTGTGTCACTTTCTTAGTTATTGTGTTAAGACGTTTATATTCTACTCTTAGAAATAATTCACTTGTACCCTTGTAAGATAAACCATAGAGGTAATCCCTCCAATCACCCTCCCTCTACCCATGCCCCCTCCCCTCCTCATGTTCTTAGGCTATAATTAAGTTATAACTTTCATATGAAAGCTATAAATTAGTTTCATAATAGGGCTGTGTACATTGGATACTTTTTCTTCCATTCTTGTGATACTTTGCTAAGAAGAACATTTTCCAGCTCCATCCATCCATGTGAACATGAAGGACATAAAGTCTCCATCTTTCTTTATGGCTGCATAGTATTCCATAGTGTACATATATCACAGTTTGTTGATCCATTCGTGGGCTTCTTGGGCTTCTTCCATGACCTGGCAATTATGAATTGGGCTGCAATAAACATTCTGATACAAATATTTTTGTTGTAATGTGGTTTTCGGTCTTCTGGATATACACCTAATAAAGGAATTGCAGGATCAAATGGCAGGTCTATTTATAGTTCTCTAAGTGTTCTCCAGACATCTTTCCAAAAGGAACGTATTAGTTTGCATTCCCACCAGCAGTGTAGAAGTGCTCCCTTTTTTCCATATCCACGCCAGCATCTCTGGTTTTGGGATTTTGTGATATGGGCTAATCTTACCAGAGTTAGGTGATATCTCAAAGTAGTTTTGATTTGCATTTCTCTGATGATTAAGGATGGTGAGCATTTTTTTCATATATCTGTAGGCCCTGTACCTATCTTCTTTAGAGAAATTTCTCAAGTCCCTTGCTCACCCTGAGATGGGATCACTTGTTCTTTTCTGGCTAATACGTTTGAGTTCTCTATGGATTCTGGTTATTAAACCTTTGTCGGAGACATAACCTGCAAATATCCTCTCCCATTCTGAGGGCTGTCTGCTTGCTTTACTTACTGTGTTCTTGGCTGTGCAGAAGCTCTTTAGTTTGAACAGGTCCCAATAGTGTATTTTTGATGTTGCTTCAATTGCCCGGGGGGTCCTCCTCATAACATTTTCACCCAGGCCGACTTCTTCAAGTGTTTCCCCTACACTTTCTTCTAGTATTTTTATGGTTTCATGTCTTAAGTTTAAATCTTTAATCCAGTGACAGTCTATCTTAGTTAATGGTGAAAGGTGTGGGTCCAGTTTCAGTCTTCTACAGGTTGCCAGCCAGTTTGCCCAGCACCATTTGTTAAATAGGGAATCTTTTCCCCACTCAATGTTTTTAATTGGCTTGTTAAAGATCAGGTAAAAACTGCTACTTTTGAGAGAACTCTGTGTGTGTGTGTGTCCATGTGTGCATATATGGATTTTTCTGGAGACAAGTTCTCTCTCTCTCTCTCTCTCTTTTTTTTTTTTTTGAGATAGTGTCTTCCTCTGTCATCCTAGGTAGAGTGCCATGGTGTCATAGCAAACAGCAACCTCAAACTCTTAAGCTCAAGCAATCCCCTTGCCTCAGTCTCCTAAGTAGCTGGGACTACAGGCACCTGTCATAACTCCCGACTAGTTTTTCTTTTTCTTTCTTTCTTTCTTTTTTTTTTTGCAGTTTTTGGCCAGGGCTGGGTTTGAACCTGCCACCTCCGGTATATGGGGCTGGTGCCCTACTCCTCTGAGCTACAGGCGCCCCCCCACTTTCTTTTTTTTTTTTTAACAGGCCCAGGCCTGGTTTGAACCTGCCACCCCCAATGCACAGGGCTGGCACTCTAACCAGTGAGCTACAGGTGCCCAGCCTAGTTTTTCTATTTCTATTTTTATTATTATTTTAAGACAGTCTTACTTTGTCACCCTTGGTAGAGTGCCATGGTGTCATAGCTCACAACAACCTCAAACTCTTGGGCTCAAGCTATTTTCTTGCCTCAGCCTTCCATGTAGCTGGGACTTCAGGTGCCCACCACAACACCCAGCTATTTTTAGAGATGGGGTCCTGCTTTGGTTCACACTGGTCTCAAACCTGTGAGCTCCAGGCAATCCACCCGCCTACACCTCCCAGAGTGTTAGGACTACAGGCATGAGCCACTTCACTTGGCCTAGTTTTTCTATTTTTAGTAGAGATGGGGTCTCACTCTTGTTCAGGCTGGTCTAAACTCCTGAGCTCAGGTGATCCTCCCGCCTTGGCCTCCCCAAGTGCTGGCCAAATTCTCTAACTTTCAACAGGGGATCTCAAGGTCAACTCTGTCACCTAAAAGGTTAAGAAGTTCTTTTTCTGGTTTTTGTTTTTGTTTTTTGAGACAGAGCCTTAAGCTGTCACCCTGGGTAGAGTACTGTGACATCACAGCTCACAGCAACCTCCAACTCTTGGGCTCAAGAGATTCTCCTGCCTCCACCTCCCAAGTAGCTGGGACTACAGGTACCTGTACAACACCCAGCTATTTTTTTGGTTGCAGCCGCCATAGTTGTTTGGCAGGCCCGGGATGGATTGGAACCCACCAGCTCAGGTGTATGTGGCTAGTGCCCTAGCTGCTTGATTCACAGGTGCCGAGTCAGAAGTTATTTTTCTTAATCTGGTTGCTGGTCATTGAGCACTTTCCTGTTGTGCATATAACACGTCAATAAAAACATGAAGAAGGTGACGAAGCTGGGGACACCCTAGTGGGACAGGCTTCTCTCATCTACACTTTTTTGTACATTTTCAAAGTTTTCCACATTTTTTTTTCTTTTTTCATCACAGCCCCTGAAGGGGAGGCCCTGTGCCATCTTTGTACCCCAGGGTGGGGCCCCAGGTTTTCTACCCTCGCCACCCAGCCTGCCCCATCCTTACTTACTGCAGATCAAGGCCACAGCCATCCGCAGCAGTTTGAACTGACACTTCATGCCCGACCAGTTCTAGGGAAAGAAGAGAGTTCTGTTAGTACCAGATCATGCCACTCACTGCTTAAGAAAACCTGACATAAAAAAAAAAAAAAAATGTCAGCTCAGTGCCTGTAGCTCAAGTGGCTTAGGCGTCAGTCATATACACCTAAGGTGGTGGGTTCAAATCCAGCCCTGGC